AGCATATCAAGTCATGTGAATATGACTGAAAATTTTCATTTTTTCTGAAAAGGTGGTGTCTATTGACTTGTGACCATGCTGTGTACATTACTTTTATATGAGATATAAAAATAAAGAGAACCTCAAAATAATTTATGATTAGGTAAACAAAATACACATAGACGGAAAATAGAAGCTGCTAAGGAGCAATAATATGTGAAAAGGATACAAAGTTTACTAGCAGTGTTAAAAGCAAATTGAAATTTTGAATGACGACAAAGAATTCACTTTGAACTTAATTCACTACATCAGATTTTGTTCGATGTAACTCAGTGACGATTCTTAGGTGAACTAGGAGCCATACTGTTTTACAAAATATGAGTGTGAGTAATGCCAGGTTGCTATATTTTAATGTGTTTATGAGATGTATCCTACTGTTTGAGCTATAGCAGAACCTTTTTTTTTTTCATCTTCATTTAAGCATGTTTTAATGGATTGATCGCTCCCCCTATCGTCTCTTCCATGCTGGAGATAAAACAGATAACACGAAGAAATTTGGCGAATCTCAGTGAAGATCCATAAGTTCGGTAAATATACCGAGGCGCCAGTAATTCGTTGTTTATTATCTAAAATATTTTCATTGACCACCAGTCGTTACAACTGATGTTATAAAGTATAACCATGAAAATCAAAAGTATGTACAAATGGGAATGAATAATATCATTGTTGCTACTCATACTGTAACAGTTATTGGCTTTTACTTTGTTATTACTACCTTCGAATTGTGTTAATGCTATTGTAAACTTTCTCATTTCTCTAACTTTCCTCTTATTGTGCACCATTAGTACTTGATAGATTTTTTTTTAAATACAATTTTTAAAAAATTGTAGCTCTCATTAAACAGCACATCAAACCTTTAATTTGACAATTCTCCAATGATTATCCAATAAAATTTTGAAGGTCTCCGAACTTCACAGTCGAATTGTAACCACATCTACCTTTATATTTCAAGATATTTTCTGTTTATAACACGTTAATCAATTTCAAATACTCCCATGGTATGTTTCTGTTCGTGATACGTTAATTACTCCCATGGATCTCATGGTATGTTTCTGTTCGTGGTACGTTAATTACTCCCATGGATCTCATGGTGTGTTTCTGTTCGTGGTACGTTAATCGCTTTGATTACTCCCATGGATCTCATGGTATGTTTCTGTTCGTGGTACGTTAATCGCTTTGATTACTCCCATGGATCTCATGGTATGTTTCTGTTCGTGGTACGTTAATCGCTTTGATTACTCCCATGGATCTCATGGTATGTTTCTGTTCGTGGTACGTTAATTACTTTAATTACTCCCATGGATCTCATGGTATGTTTCTGTTCGTGATACGTTAATTACTTTAATTACTCCCATGGATCTCATGGTATGTTTCTGTTCGTGATACGTTAATTACTTTAATTACTCCCATGGATCTCATGGTATGTTTCTGTTCGTGGTACGTTAATCGCTTTGATTACTCTCATGGTATGTTTCTGTTCGTGGTACGTTAATCGCTTTGATTACTCCCATGGATCTCATGGTATGTTTCTGTTCGTGGTACGTTAATCGCTTTGATTACTCCCATGGATCTCATGGTATGTTTCTGTTCGTGGTACGTTAATCGCTTGATTACTCCCATGGATCTCATGGTATGTTACTGTCTGTACGTATCG